TATCCAACTGCTCTTTGATTTAGAAACAAAATATTAGAAAACTATAGACGTATAACTAAATTGTATATGTCAACAGATCATACTTCGGCCCCGAAGGAATAGAATACAACTTGATCCGAATACCAATCGCAGGGTGTGACTTCTCTACCCACCCTTACACCTACAATGAGTATCCATGGCACGACGCAGAGCTCACCAACTACACGCTATCGTCGGAAGATTACTTCTACAGGGTAATTTAAACGTTTATATTTTTCATAGTCAACCCATTATACGTGTCACGGAACTAATTTAAGGAGACGGTTCAGACCAGACAGCGCCGGCGCTAACCCATGTTTCCGCAGTGATCGGAGATTCGGGTGCAAATAGTGCAATTATAAAGGATGTTGGGAAGCAATAGGCCGCTTACTGCGCTTGCGCCGTGAGTGACGCAGGCTCTTCCGAGGCGTCGCAAACGGTGCTCGCGTGCCCCCTATGGGCCTGCACCCGTGTGCGCCACTGCACACCCTGCAAAACCAGAACTGAGGCCACAGTACCGCAAAGTTGACCGATTGTGTGTTGAATGAATGAAAGAATGAATGAAATTGTTGTGTTGACTATTTCACGCTTGGGGGGCGAGTCGGAGTACAACTGACCTGCCCCTCCGTTGGCGCGGGAGCCCTGGCGCAAGCTAGGGCAGCCGGGCGGCGTCGTGGTGAATGTGCACCGACCCCACGGCGCCGACTCAACCGGCGGGAGGTAAACCCAGGAGGGTTTTAATGGGGTAGGCTCTCCAGTATGGAGGGAGAGTCTCCACATAGCCTCTGAGTCTCCCTGGGCTCAGGGGTATCTATAAAGATTTCCCCCCGTAAAAAGAAAAGTGGTTGTAAACATTCCTCAACGTGAAGGTTTCTTGGCGATACATAAAAGCAGCGATTAAATGCCATAACCCCACGTGGTGTCATAGCAATAAGTACCTAAGTGGCTAATGGCACTCCTATAGTTGTGACTTGCATTTTCAATACATAAATAAATATTTTCCTTCGCCGTTAGTGAGAGGTATTGCAACATTCACAAATAAGCACAACTTAGGAATTACTGTTCATCCATTGATTATATGCAATAAATACAGCAACTATTTAGCTAAAATAAATATACTTAGACAACGTTACACGGTAAGGTCATAAGGTATGAAACTAGCATACTTGTAGACACACTATAAACTTAAATACCCATCTAAATAAAGAAATATATACCACAAGAGATATAAGATAATGTCGTCGGTATACAAGTATAAAGTAACCTGCAAATTCAATTTAAAATATCGAATTCTTAAGTTTTCGAGATTGTTATACATTGGAAAAGACTCAGGTCCCATGGTCACGGCTGACTAGTAACTAAATCAGCCATGACCATAGAACCTGTGAATGGTCCGAAACGGTTGCTAGTTAGAAAAGGACGATTGAGTTGTTAGTTTGCATCAAAAGGATCAGATTAAAAAATACAAATCAAAAATATTTTTTACGGGAATTGAAAATTTTACTTTACAATGCAAAATTTATATTTTTTAATACCAAATACGTTTTTCCTTGTTTCTGGCACTCGCGGTTTGCGTTTCTGTCTGTTTACGGAAAACAATGGAAAGGAAAAATAATTTGGAAGACGATCAGAGAGGTGCGATTAGGATTGTACAGAAAGACATAATATGAATAATGGAATATAAAGATATTATACTTATAATTTGATACAATTTAAAGTTACAAACGAAGCCAAACATATAGATAGGTAATAGGACTATTAGATGACAAAATAAGCTTTGCGGTAATAGGAAGAGGGAATCCAATGGAGACGAGGATTTGGAACAAAAACAATTTTTACAGAATTCACTGAGAGGAGAATCTACAAATCTACAACGACAGAGAACTTACACCGACAAGTATAGAAAAAAATGTTTTTTTTTTATTAAATTTACTCCACACTCGCAAATATCACTGTCTATAATTTGAGCATTTTACTTACAAAAAGTTTAAATAACCTACCTCGATATTGAAACTCTTTTACATTTAAATAGTGAAGTGGCCAGTGTTAGCTAAAAGGTTTTCAAAGAATGTATTTCGTGTATTTTATGTTTATTTTAAATCATATTTCATAATCTGATTTTAATACTTATTTATTTATTAATTCCTTTCAACCTTAGCTCACTTGAACATTTTTCCTTTCCAAAAGGAAAATGGGTTGCCTCATGGTTGCCTCTTTTTTTTCTTGGATTTGGCACAAAGGAGTCTAGTTAATACTATTTAAAAAAACAAATTGAAAAAGTTTTAATCATTAACATTAAGAAATAGTATTGATAATAGAATAACAGGTATGTTTATGAATTACCTTGTTTTGTTAAATTTCTTGAAAAACTAACAGATTTCTTTCCATTACCTTACTTTAAAGTGCTCTAAAAGTATCCATACCCAATTTGCAAGCACGCTGTATACATACCGAAATAATTTAATTTCTATTGGCTAATGCGAGTAGATGCAGTAAAAGAGGTACGTTGTCAGGTGTGGATCCGTAGTCTCAGCCTACTGTTTTGAAAGACAGGCGCATGTACTATGCACCGGCTGAGAATGGATAACATACCTATAAGTTAAGTCGATTTATGTCATTAGCCCGCTATACGGTGACACGTGTCCCGCTGCGATATATAAGTTTGACTTTTTGTTTTCTTCTTTTATTATACTATGGCGACAAAGAAGTCGCGCGAATGGTGGTAAACGACATACCTACACTGTACAGTTGTAGTACCATTCAGAGCTTGGATCGTAAAGCTAAATAAGTTGACGATAAAGTTATAATTCAAATTCTGACCGTGCTCGCCAGTATCACATTGACTCATGCTCAACAGTTACCTATGCTCGCAACTAGTTTACGAACAGCGAGAGAAGAAGTGAAAATCACCGCAAGCGCATGGTCGCCACCGATTTGGATGAAGACTAACGAGAGAATTACTGGCTTCGGACAACTCAGGCCACAGTACTATCAGGCGTACGCTGATTATCATTTGCGGTAAGTATAGCTTCTTCAGCGTATCATAATCTATATTACTGTATACTAGCGTTCCACAAGGCGTGATACTGAGCCCAAATTTATGCTACACTTAGGCATGCAATTCCTACAACCACATCCCAATGACCTCTTTTTCCGAAGTGATAGAAGAGTTCATACTTTTTATATTACAAATATAACTTTGCAGTTCTGCATGAATTAATATTTTAAAGATTAAATAAAGTATCGAGTTTAGAAGTTAAAATTTTTTTTTCGGATTTTTTTTATGACACCAAGTGACGGACTAATTGTGCGCCTGGAGGTAAGTGACACGCCATGTCCATAACAGTTACAGTGCCACTCACTGCTTTAAATCGTAAAGATCTGAGGGGCTGCGCTCACCCTGCGCATTTCACCAACACTCTTACCCTTGTAAACCTAAACGCAGTGATGCACACATTACTGCTTGGCAGCAGAAATTGGTAACCTAGTAGTACCTATATACATCCCTAGGCGAACTCTTTCACAAGGAGATCTACTGCTACTGTCTAAACCAAAACATTCGTATATTTGAAAAACAAATATACATGTTTAGATTCCATAAAATAGATTCATTTCCAATAAAAATAAAGTTCTTTTCCTCACAGGTTCTTAGAAGAGTTAGAAAAAATGAACATAAAGGTGTGGGCTATCACAACTACCAATGAGCCCATCAACGGCATCGTACCTTTGGCACCGTTCAATTCCTTGGGATGGCTACCTTCTCAATTGGTACCTAATTATTTTTCATTGTACGTTCAATTTCCCTACTACGTCAAGTAGGCACCTATAACTCTGTCCACCTATTTTTTATGACTTTTCTCGTGAATTATTCATAGATTTTCATCGCTGTAGTTTCTAGCTTTTACATTGTACCTTTGCCACCTACAAATAATCATATTTTTGCACAAGTAGATTAACTTTTCGCATGAACTCATATTTTTCTGGCACGGTATACGTACACAACCTATTTCTTAAAGCGATTTTTCACGGCCCACTTTTCGACGAGCCGCATCACGCGAGTTCGCGCCAACGCGTCATGGGCCGCCCGAGCACGCCCGTGGCGGCCTGTATGGATACGCCGAGTGTTGGTAACTTCATAGAGGCGACACGAGAGCGCGCGTGGCGGTCCGAGAACCTTATCGCGAAGAGCGAAGAGTATGCTTTTTTTTAGTATATTGGCTACTGTGTAATATAAAAGTGACTGCATAAATAGAAATACGGTATATAATTTATTATACATGGTTACGGTATATAATAAATTACGGTAACTCGGACCAGACTAAGCTCTCGATGCACACCCAAATACGCGCTACCACGCGCCCGTGACTGACTGTGAGCTCGCCCGTTTTGTATTTGAAAAACGGGCCGTGGAAAGCGGCGACGGGCGCGCTCAGGCGGCCCTCCACTCACGGCGCCTTGACGCGACTCGCGCGGAATAACGGGTCGTGTGAAGCCGCCTTTAAACACTTGACATCGCATTGCACCTGCCTTCGCGCTTCTTCCCGCAGATTCGCCGACAGCAGCTGCGGGAATTCTCGCGAATTTCTTGACATAAAGTTTATTAAATATTGTTATAAATATTTGCTTTCATTATAAATTGTATATAGAGCCAAATGCGATGTGACCCCTATATTCCTTTTTTTTTTTTTCATTTTATACTTATGCAGATAATAAGGCAAGTTAATAAGTTTGCATGGAAACTTAATAATAAGACATGAGTGAGAATTGCAACGATAAACATTAAGCAAGATAAGCACACTTAATCATTTCAGCGCAAACTTTATCTCTTAATGTAATTAATGCAATGAAAAACAAATTACTTAGTTGTTCATCATTTCACATTACGGTCTATCTTTATGTACCTGGCGTAAGTGTGAACGTAAATCATCTGACAGACGGAAGCATTCCAACTACTTAAATGCTTTTTATGACTTTTCCAACTTTTCCAGGCACGATGGGTTGCCAACAACCTAGGACCGACGATAAGGAACTCTCGTTTCAACCAGACTAAAATTTTCGCTGTCGATGATCAACGATACCTTTTACATTACTATGTCCTCGGTGTAAGTACTTTCTTTGCCATTTTTCTTACATGTAATAATAAATTAATTGTATTCAAAATAGGATTATGGACACAGGTTCCACTATCAGTTCCTAAATAGCTTCTCAAAACCTCAGATTACACTAACACATGCAATCTTGACGTATAATAAAACCACAGGAAAGAAGTTTGAAGATTCTACGACCGATAATAGTCGATACTTTTATGCTTAATTAAGATTTTTAAAATTTCATTTAAGGATAGTTTGTTTCATATAGTTGGTATTATTTATATCATTTTTATTTTATTGGTAGGTCAATGCTTTCATGTGATAAATGCACTGTTGACGTATTACTATGCTATTACTTGTTATAACTATATAGTATTAGTATTTGATTTAAAGGCTTATGTTATTCTCTTCTTCTCTGTTCTTGCCTACCAAAGGCTCTCCAAGTTTAAATCCGTTTCTCACAAATATATTCTAAGCTTTTTTTTATAATATCGAGTCGTGCGCCTGATGGTAAGCTACACGCCTATCCATAACCATGCTAAAGAGTAGTGTAACACAAGTGCCACTCAGAGCTTTAAATTGCAAAGATCTTAGGGACAAGGAAACACCACAAATTATACCCAAACTCACGAGAAAAATAAATATAGGTCATACAAATATTTCACCCGAACGGGGATCGAACCCGGAACCTCGGCGTGGCAGACCAGCATGGTAACCGTTCGGCCACAGAGGCAGTTATAAGTGGGGCGCACTATAAATTTCCGGAATGAATAGAAAAAAATATTATAAATGGACTTATTGTTTCTCAAAATATTCTCCGTTAGCGTTAATGCACTTTTTCATACGAATGAACCAATTTTGAAAACATTTATGCCACTCCTCCGTGACAATCTCTGAAACAATATATTTTTTATGCTCTTCGACAGCCTCTACAGGTGGTGAAAATCGTTGACCGCGTAACTGGTTCTTAATTTTTGAAAATAAATAAAAGTCACAAGGTGTCGGGACTGTATTCGGGATGGCTCATAAGGTCAACGTTATTCACCTTTAAAACTTCATTTGTCTGTGTGGCCGTGTGAGAACTGGCATTATCGTGGTGCAAGAAGATACGGCGTTTACGGTTATTTTTACAGAGTTTGTCAATAACTTCCGGCAAACAAATGGCCGTGTACCAATCATTATTCACGGTACAACGATTTTCCAAAGCAACAGTAGCCACGTGTTCAGTTTTATTAAAAAAAGAAGCAATCATCCACTTAGAGGCACTTTGCACGCGCGCCACTTTGGTTGGTTTCGGCTCATCTCGAAAGACCCATACGCTCTATTGCTGCTTTGTATTGGGATCGTAACTATAAATCCATGTTTCGTCACCTGTTACTATGTCCCACACCAAATTTGACGCCCCGTCGTTGAATCTGGTTAAGCATGGCATTGCACCAAGTGCAATCCGTATTTTGAGCCTCAATCGAATTGTGTGGGATCCATCGAGAGCACAGCTTTTTTACCGACTTCAAAAACGAAGGAGGTTCTCAATTCGACTGTATGTTCTTTTTTTTATGTATGTTACGCGATAACTCCCATATTTGTGAACCGATTGTCACGATTCTTTTTTTTTGTTCTTCACGCATGAAGATTCATTTTTATAAATAGCGCCTAAACTTTAGTTTAAGAGCAATTATTTTAATGGTTGATTTGGCTATTTCTCTAATTCAAGGCGTTTTTCTCTCAATATACTTTGAGTAGCGAGAACCAATTTTTATTATCTCCAGTGTCAAGTCCTGTATAGTGGCGAACTAGGGGTTATTTCAATAAAACTTAGCAAATTGACGTAATTCCACGTACTTTTGAGGTTGGTTTTTTTCACACCCAAATGTTTGTGTAGTATTGGTTGTAGGTATTTGACTCATGCCTATACCTAAACATGCCCGGATCTCATGGTATGTCACATGCCCGTCTGTTTTGATCATACGGCACAGCATCGATGGTTTTGTTGTTCACAGCAGTGGTCGGGCGACCATCACGAAATTTGTCACTGAGATGCACACGACTGCGTTTGAATTCTGCAAACCAGCTATAAATAGTCGTCTTGCATGCTTCATCGCCAAAAGCAGTTTGAAGCCGAGTGAAGCTCCGCTGATTTGTTAAATTACACTTAAAGTCGTAGAAAATCATACTACGAAAATTTTTAACAGATAAAGCCGTAGTGATGTAGACAACCAATTTCTAAAATGAAAACAGAATGTAAAAACAAGTGACAGTCAGTTGAAACAAACTGTCAAACAAAACAGCCAAAGAGTTCTATCTTCAATTGTTGTAATTACTTTTTAAATATTGTTTATGTAAGTGGCCAGTTCCGGAAACTTATAGTGCGCCCTATGTATGGGAATGCCAGTTGGCTAGATTGGGATCAAGGACTCAAGAATCAGCGAACGATATTGTTGTGTCCTGCATTTGTGCCAAAAGCAACACACCACAGAAATATTATTATTAATTTAAATTACAGGAAATTATGTTGTACAGTCAAGAGCACGTCAAGCTTGACACTTTGTACTTTGGACCGTGCTTATCGTAAGCGGCATAGACTTGGATTTAAATCTTAAGTGTTAAGCTTGACGTGCTCGTAACCCTGTACAATGTGAATTGTGATTACCCCACCAAACAGTAATTCCTGAAATTTACAGATGGAAAGAGAAGACCCAAAATCTATCGAATACATCGACGGGATTGCCGTCCATTATTATGGAAACTTCGTCCCGGCATCCATTCTTTCCAACCTTCAAAACAGATATCCCAACAAAATGCTGCTCTCTACTGAAGCTTGCGAAGGTATTTATACACTAAATGAACTAGGTACAGAGTTTTAATATTCCAGTGCCAAAAAATACTAATAATAATAAAAATAACTGCCTCCGTGGCCAAACGGTTATCATGCTGGACTGTCACGCAAGAGGTCTCGGGTTCGATTAGTAGCCAAGAGAAATACTTGTATGGCCTACATTTATTTCTCTCGTGAGTTTGGGCGTAATTTGTCGTTGTCTATGTGTGTGTCCATGGCACCCGCGACACAAGGCTATGAGTGTGTATCTTCCATCCTCCAACGTGTGTACCTACATGATTATTATCTAAAGCTCTTTGCAGGTCCTATGCCATGGGATGAACACAAGGTAGAACTTGGATCCTGGGATCGAGCTCGGAACTACGTGCGATATATCTTACAAGTGAGCTATCAATAAAAATCTAAAAACAAATTTTCATTCATCTCTATCATTTTCTCTTCTATTATAAAATATCTAATTTGCCAGGACCTTAACAACTTTGTCGTCGGCTGGATTGATTGGAATCTCTGTCTAGACCCGGAGGGTGGTCCAAATTGGGCCAACAATTTTGTTGACGCTCCGATTCTTGTCTACGGGGATCAAGATGAATTCATAAAACAACCCATGTTCTACGCCATGGGACACTTCTCGAAGTTTATTCCTCGAGGCTCTAGGCGTATTCAAGTTTCCAGGAGAAGTCTGGCCACCGTTGAAAATCTGGCAGTGATTAAACCAAACGGACACATAGTTGTTGTTTTACAAAATGCGTAAGTATAAGCTGTTTTCGTGTTGAGATACGTATCTATACATACATTATAATAAAACATTCATGTTAAATATTAGTGTTGGAAAGTATGTCAGTAAATTTGGCCTCAGGCCGAATATTCGGTCCGGAGGAGTGTGGCCAAATGCCGAATATTTAGCCAAACAATTTGGCCAGCATAAGCCACGTACGAAACGTGGCACGAAAAGCACCACTTAGGAATTAACTTCAGTTATGATTAATAATTTCGTACAATGAAACGAAAAAGGTAATTTAATTTAGAAGTTTAAATGTAATGTTTATCTAAGTAAGTAAGTTCATGATACACGCTCTTAACGAATGCACAATTTTTTTACAGAAATGAAAACGAACGCATTGTTCACCTACGCATCAGTGCCACAAGATTCATTGAATTGACGATGGAGGCCCGGTCTGTGAAAACTATAGAAATTAATCCAAATTAAACGACATTTCACTGTCTGTTTTTGAATCCGGCAAATAAAAACGTTACAACTGGTCGTCTTTTTATTTATAAACAATTTCATTTGATTAAAATTTCAAATATATTCACATTGTACGGATTGTACACATTGCTGTTTGGGTAGAACCATGTAAGAACTAAAAACAGGATGGGGCACAGGAATCAAGGAAAAGGGTAGTTATTTATATAAGTTTTATTGCACTCTTCTTATTGGGTCATTAGGTTATATTCATTGGCAGATCGATTCTTTAGTGGTCTCAGAATAATGTTTTGAGGCATCCTCAAAGAAAGAAGTCAATCGGGGGGAGTCATGCAATGTCACCAAAACTTAACTGTGTGCCTACATACATCAGATGTTTGTTATTTTTTGACTTCAGTCAACCTAAAAACAACAAATTAAACTATGAACAGAGCTAGAACTAATCTGTCCAATTTATTGTTACATGGAACCAATAAAGATACCTTAGTAGAGTAAAACATTGTCCTGTGTAAGAGCTATGTGGCACTATGTCAATGACCTCGGTGGTCAAGTGGCTTAAACACCAGTTTTCATGGTGTCGCCATCTCTGACATCCCGGTTTGATCGCCGGCCGGGTAAATGCAGACAAACTTTTCTATACTGTCTGGGTGTTTGTGATATCATTGTTGTTTCCAATTTCCATAACACAAGTGCTTTAGGATCTTACTTACTTTGGGATCTGAGCAACTTAAGTTATGTTGTGTAATATTTATTTATTTATTTATTATGCCAATGTTGCTAGTTGTTACTCTTAAATACCATAAAACTCATAATGCTAAATTTGTGAAGAAAAAATTATTTTACTTGACACAATAATTAATTATAGCAAAAAAAGTATTACCCAAGTAAATTATTCAATATTTGTTTCTCCATGTTTAGTGGTAAAACTGAGGTCACTGAAGTCCCACACTACACTAATAGCAGCTATACATGCTACATACAGAATGCAGTAATATATAGCATAGTTGCACATGTTGCTCAAAGCCTTAAACATTTTGGCCGCTGAAAAGGAACTTAATAATTTTAACCATATATAAAACCAATTTTGAAACTAGTACTCAATCAAAGACGTTATCTTGTCAAGAGGCCACACTCGACAAACAACTCTGCTACGTATCAACGCTTGAGGAACTGGACCATACACTCTGGAATCAGCGGAGTTGCTAGAATTATCTCCTTCTAACCATACATGACCTTTGGGTATAAATGTTTTACGACCCGGAAAGCTTCCTTTGACTATATCACCCTGTAGAGCTACTATTCGTTTACAAATATTTTGTTTAGGATTAGTTGGATTTTTCGCTATAACGATGTCGCCCCTTCTAAGCCTCTTTAGTCTTGGACTTATATGTTCTGTGAACAGTACATTATTCGTTTCTAGTGTAGGCTCCATTGATGGACCCGAGCACTGAAAAAAGAAAAAATTTGCAATATTTTTTTTATTCATATAATTTTTTTAAGGTTAGTTTTACAAATGTTACAAAATTCAGCAACTAGAATAACTTACCATCACAAAATCACCAACATATTCAAATGCACAGTGTGTTACACAGGCATACTGTGTCAGTAAACCTAAAACTCCACAGGTTTTTCCAACAATCTTCGTAAAACCCATCCTAAAAACTTATATAGCGCCTTGTTCGAATTTCTCTTCATGTGGCCTTATTATGCTAATAAGCACCGGTGCATAAGTAACAAAAATACTGTAATTCTAACCACATAAGTATCTATCATTTAGTACTTTTAAACTGTAACAATATATCGTGTTTTACATAATAAACAGTGGCCATAATTATTTGTGGCTAATGCACAATGACATTGACTGACAATTTAAAACAGCTGTTTTGTTGTTATTTCTAGTGGCAGCGTGTTGTCGAAAAAAAAACTAGTGAGTATATTGCATTCACTTTAATATTTCAAAAAGGATTCTACTTCTACTAAAAAAGCACAATATGAAAATCAAATTAGCAATTTTTTTTCAATGTTTGCTAAAACGTGAGTTTACGAAAAGATTACTTTTTTTAATGAACCATAACTATTAAAATTTATTTCATAAATTGCACGTACCTTAAAATAGCTCCCAATTTTTTGAAAAGTCCTAAACTCGAATATGTTTCCGCTTGTTCGACTTTCAGTTTGGCTGCACTGCATGCCACAAATTGAAAAAACCTAGTACAAATAACAGCTCTTTAATTTCTATAATTTATTTTACTGATTTACAAAAAAATCCAACAAAAATCATCTACATAGACATTTGATATACTATGTAGTTTTAAGTACTTAATAATCTTTAGAATCGATATAATTTTAAACAATCATTCCTGAAATAATCTGCACACTATAAAAGACCTTATCCTCCTATCAATAAATAGTGTCGTTCATTGATTATTTATTTATGCCTTGATATCGATATTTGCAAACCATGATGCTCAAGATAGTGTCATTAACCGATTTCACAACATTGACAGTAACATTTAATACAATTGCCAGCTTGTGCCTTGTATGAAAAGGATATGAGTATTAGAGGACTTTATTATTTTACATAAAGTAGAAATATTGTACAATAATAATTATATTAAACTAAACAATTAGTTTAAATTAGTAACAAATAAGAACTCTTTTTACTTAAATCGCGAGGAAATCTGAAAATATTAAGCATTCACAGTTTTTTGTTTCAATAATCGTATTATTAAAATATCAAGTAGTCCCTTACTATAACCTTGTTAGTTAATTTTAATTTCGTAGTAATATCGTATTTCGTACTTGATTAAAGTTAAAAGAGTTGTCATATGTCTTGAGTAATTATTATGGTTCCCAGTAATGCTTCGCTGACTTTAAATTTATTTGGGTATACAGCGATTACACACGGCGACTTTCAGCAGTAAGCGTGCGTTTGTGAAACGTGCAGTGTCATCGCGACACTTGCGATTTTGAGACAGTTGCATCATTAAACGTGTATAGGTTTGCATTGCGATTGTGTCGCGAGTGTGAGTATCGGTAGACAATTAGCGATTACATCGCAGCTGAATCACTGCAGACGTGCTGCTAAAAATCGTCGTGTTTAAGCTCTTAATGTTGACTGTGATATTATTATTTTAACTTAGTTCCTGCATTCGCAAGCGACTGTCAACTTGTCACCTATGAATATTTACAGTCAGCGACACCAAAATGATTTAAATTTTATTCGTTCATTATCAAAACCTTACATGTATCGATAATTACTTATCGATACGGAATCATCAACTAGATAGTAATCACTATTGTTCATTTGACAGTTAAGTGTGCTCGGCCAGCTCGGGCAGATTTGAGATAAAAATTGATTTCGTGTTTTATTATTAAACGTGAATTATTCTACAACACAACGGCAACCGAACAGCAATTTACATTGTTCGTCGGCTATAACATATAATTCAGTGAATGTTCGAAAATTATAATTTTCCGCCTCCGTACCACAGCTTTCACGAGGAAATTTCTTCTCTATAGAAAATTTATTGTTTTACGGAATTCTGCGAACAAAAGCCATAAAGGATTTGTTTTCAAATTACGTACCAGTGTTAGATGTTTACCTTTTAACTATTGGAGCGTTCTGTGTATGTGCTTTAATAGGGTTTTCAATCGATATAGAATAGGAGTAGAAATCTATTGTAGTAATATGATTGTGCATATTTCGCATACGAACTGATACACAGGCCAATGGATATGTGCTGATACAGACGGGCTGAGTACCATTTGTGAAAATTGCATGTGAGTACATTTTTCTGCCTTGCTAAACCATCATCCTTGTTATCAACACATCATGTATAATGAAGGAAAAAGGGCTACCCCTTACTCTGGGCTTATAACTAATAAACACAACCTTTTAGAGGGTAGGATGATTTGTCTTTATGACTGCAAAATCTCCAGTACAGAACAATTTTCCAAAGTGCTAAATCCAGGAAGTACTTGACATGTACAACTATATATAAAAATTTTCATCATACACATTCATAATGTCCTAAATACACTACTGTACCGCTGTCTGCACATGAATCATGTGCTCACAATTATCTTCATGCAACCAATATTTAAAATCCACTAATAGAGCAACTTGAATATTATGCACTCATATCACACACAGTACCTTAGTAAATTGTATGTGTAATTTATCTGATTAACGTAACAAAGGTGTAAACACACCTGTGACTTATTTACTTATATCATAAAGGTAAATATCATGTATAAATCTATTATAATGTTTCAGCTTGTAATTTGGTTATAAAGCATGGTCTATAATATCTCTTTATTTTGTATAACTTTGGCCTGCAATTTTATTTATACATGGTTCTAAACAATCTATGAACTAATTTTCATCTAAAATCAGGCTTTTTCAGAATGATGAAGCTGTAGTCTTGCATACAAACTTACTTGTTAAATTTGTAAGTAAAATTAAATGGAATAGATTGCACTATGAAGGAGAAAACTAATGACATGCTAGTTTTTAGTAATTAATAGTTATGTTCATATGATAATATTTTGAATACTTATTTAAGCATAAATCCCATTACATTACACTAATAATAATGTAATAATAGTATCAATATTGTTTCCATTTGCTAATATGTATAAGTAATATGTTTTTTTTATATAAAAAATATGACAATGAGATCGAGGATGTAGCATGCACACCTAAATAATGCTTGTTCAATCTCGCCTTGAAAAGGTCCAAGTTCTAGCATTCGGGGAACAAGTCTACAGGCAGGGAATTCCACTCCCTAGTTGCTCGCCATACAAATGTGGAAGCAAAACGCTTTGTGCAAATCCTGGGAATATCCACAACATGGGGGTTGAACCCCAGCTTATGTCTAGTCCCCCCAAGATGGAAAGGGGAAGGCGGAATCAAATTATACAATTCCATTGCACACTCTGCGTGATATATCCTGTAGAATACAACAATAAGCAGGCAACTTTACAGTGGTGTTCATGGCTCTGCAGCTTCGCCTCTACTAATTCTGAGTCACCTACAAGCCTAGCATGCTTGTCTATCGAATCCAAAGTGGCCAGTTGGTATTTAGCAAAGCCCTCCCATAAGTGGCAGCATACTCCATACACAACTGGACTTGTGCTTGGTACAGCTGAAGCAACTGTCCCGATGTGAAGTAACACCTCACCTTGGTAAGGATGCCAAGCTTCCTGGCTGCATTTTTGGCCATAGATTCAATGTATCTTGCCTGTACCAGGTTTTCATTGCCAAGCATCAGACAATCAAATCAATTATCTGGTCCCAAAGGTATAGAGATATTGTTGGGTAACATCTATATTCTTTTTGTAAAAAAATTATTAATTTATTATCGGGGATCGGAATAGGGAGAGTTTTTTTTTCTTTTTACTTTCCAACAAAAAAAGAATCATGTCATCAAATCGGTTCACAAACACCGGAGTTATCGCGTAACATACATACAAAAAAAAAAAGAAAAAAAAAGAACATACAGTCGAATTGAGAACCTCCTCCTTTTTTGAAGTCGGTTAAAAAGAAAAAGAAAAACAAACTGACAAGACAAAAGAATTGGCACTATTTGGACTAAGAAGACCCAGACCAAGTAGTTGGCTATTCGTTTTTGCATTGTTCTTAGTACTTCCTCTGTGAGTTTATTTAAATTACATGCTTTTTTTAGCCTTCCTGTTGGCTCTGGGTCCATTTAAATCTTTTTTTATTAAGAGATATTTACGTGATTTGATTTTTCTTAAAAAAAAGCCTTATTTTTGGATGGACTTGAAGATTTAATCAGTTGTCTGATTTAGAAATTATTACCTCCTTAGTTATTGTTTTTTCCAATTTCCCAATTTTACCAATTTCGCCATATATTTCGAGCCAGATAATATAGAATCTGAGATTGTACATCAGACTATTATATTATACATAATATAGACATGTGCTTTGCCACAATCTGACCTGTTATTAGACGATGATACGCGTCTACGCGATTGTCTAATTAATGCTTAACTTGATATGTTCATATTATTTGTAGCCAATTTATATTGTAAATTAGAATACATTAACGAATATCAATGACTCATACTCCTATGCAGTAGGCAAGTAAAACAAAATTAGTGCCTCTGACATCCTGTTTTAAATAAATTTTTAAGTTTGTTTGCAAGCAATCCACTATCATGAGTTCTAGCTATTTGTACTGATGAAACCATTAAGACTTCACCACACAGAACGCGGATCAGTGTATCAATTATTTACATACACTATGCCTGCAACCGACCACGACCTTTTGGCTGTTGAAACTTTTGCTTTGCTATACAATATTGTTATTTTTTTTAATTGCATATAGGCTTATGTTTATGGCTATTGTTTTGTCTGCCCAAGACTATGTTTAAAAACCTGCTAATGATGCTGAAGACATGTTGCTAACTGAATGTCTTAACATGCTCAGCACCAAGGTCCTTCAAGGCAAAAATTGTGGAAATTACTTTTTTTTTACTGAAATAGTTTCTATTGGTATTAATTTAGTGTGTCGAATTAATGGTATGAGGGTTCATACCATTAATTCGACACACTAAATTAACCCCCCTCCCTCTGTGCCCCATTATTCGTTTTTTTTTTCAGTTGGATCAGGCAGGATACACCGGCCTGGGAGCTTTTATCGTACATTTGGCTAAATGTAGCTAAAATTTAATAAATATAAGCACTAAATAATTATTGACTACAACAAAATAATAAATTATAAGTTAAGTTTTTTTAAGTTATTACACTAAATTTGATCTCATTCAATAAATTAATTGAATATTTAAAAAAAAGGTAATTGAAACAGTATAATTATTTCATTTCACCATAACTTCACAACTATCACAGTTATTTATATATAAGATAAGATATTATATCCCAAAAACACTGAACGATTCGTGAGGGCCAGGGCTTTCAAATGCTCATCATCATCAATGAGATACGTCGGCTCTTTAGGCCGATAAGCATTACCTGTGTATAGCCAGGACATACTGGCCTGGGACAAAAACATTAGGTATATATCAAGGTATATACACGTGGCGCTGAACGTGTTAATGCTTTATACATATTTAAGTAAAATCGATGGTCAAAGTTACAATACATATTTTCTTTGTCAACAGAGTCGTGTTTAGACATGGGGCGGTTTACAGGGAAGAAATGTCGACTTTTGTCGATGTTATGGCTGACGGGAAGCTTCTTTTTTGTGGAGCTGATTGTGGGCTACGTCACCAACTCTATGGCGCTCGTCGCAGACTCTTTCCACATGCTCAGCGATGTTGCTGCTCTTGTTATCGCTTTCCTTTCAGTTAAAGTGAGTATTTTAATATATTTGTATGTGTAAAAATATAATGGTCCTATTTTTATAGAAAGGACCATTATAATTTTTTAATACATTAGTGTAGTGGGTTAGTAGTAGTGTGGTGTTTAGTGATAATTTATCTATGCAAAATCCTACCAAAATTGTGTTGTTCTTAACTAATTAAGAAATGGTCAGATTTTGCATAGATCAATTATTACCACACTAGAATTCTCTGCATTGTATATAATATCATCTGTAGTACATGGTGAAGACGAAAATCTGACATGTCTCATGTTTTTGGGAAAGCTATACTGCATTGAGTTAATCTAAGACCCTATCTTTAAAAGATAATCCGTATTAACAAATCCATCTCAAGCGTAGGATCGGTAATTTAATCAAACTTATAAAATATCACTTGAGTTGTCAAACTTTCCACCTATTCATAAACGTAACTCACTCTGTAGACTCAAGATCGTTATTAAGTTTTAACCTACTTAGGACAGTGACTTGGTCACTTGAGATGGTATCATCCAAAATTCAGTTGGTTATAGTATACTAATACAGGAGAGCTTATACATCTCGACATCTTATACGACTCAAGTGATACTTCATACACGTTTGATTCCGGCCTTAAGAACTGTTCATTAACATGGGTCTATGACTCCTATAAATTCTTGTCTATAAGTGTGTCAATTGATTTGCAATATCTTTTATCAATTTTGCCTTCTCTTTGTCACAGCTCTTATGATAAGTTTAGTTATTTTTTATTTGAAGCTTTTAACCTACTTTTACATGACATTTAGTTTCTATCAACGTAGTCATAATTTTACAAGATTTCCCATATCGACGTACGTCATCGTAAATCTCATAGCTGTAAAACATGAAAAATGTGTATTCCAAAAAGCAGGATCTTAAAACTTGTTTATTTATTGCTCGGTGTTCACCTTAAGTACAATCATGCGGTGACGTCAGGATTCACGTGTAAAACGTTAGAAATCGATTTCGTAGAATTCTAGATGCTTTACTGTTTGGTGAGTCATAACCATAACATGACACTCGTAACGAGATTACCTTAGATGATTGTTTATTTTACGGACTTAAAACGAATAATTTTGGGAATATAAATTCATTTATTAAATATAATGTACAAGTACAAAAGTATTTGTATTATTGAATAGAAATGGGGTCTCGAAAAACTTTCTCCTTTTTAGAAAAGCCCTAACGTACACTATGTTTTTAAAAACAACAACAATTTGTATCTCTTTGGAAACAACGACGTTTAAGCAACAAATTGACGTTTGGTTGGAAATGTAATTAAATATCCCTATTGGAGCTTTGTACGCTAACCACCAATAGGGATACGTTTCTTCTTTACTTTCTTTCTCTTGAATCCTAAGTCAATTGTAGATTATGTTGTTACGTAACGTTAAGCGATATTTTTGTTTGTTTATTTATATTTAGTTTTAAACATGCGGTTTTGTTGTAGCAATCAAATTTTACTTACTTTATTATTTATTGTTGTAAGGAGACATCAGCAAGAATTATCTATTTATACATATTGTACCTTATGTGTAATGATACAGTTAATTTGTCATAGATGTCACCAAAGAAATGGTCAAAGAACACCTTTGGGTGGGCGAGAGCTGAGGTTCTAGGCGCCTTGGTGAACGCTGTATTCCTCGTGGCTTTGTGCTTCAGTATAACAGTGGAAGCTGTCAAACGCTTCATCGAGATCGAAATCATCCATGATGCCAAGTTATTAGTTGCTGTTGGTACCCTTGGATTGCTGCTTAACGTTGTCGGATTGTTCCTATTTCATGGTAAGTGTGTTCATACTTAATGCATTTTTCTTCGACGAAATTTATACAAATCTGATGTTGAAAACGTAGTCAACAAGAGGCTATCACTTCAGACTATTTCGCATATATACATATATTTTTTTAAACTGTACACCGTTCATTTTTAAAATTTTATTAAAGTACATGACGGCTTTTTTAAATTTGAGACCTTCAAAGTAAAAAAAGAGAGAAAATGGTCGAGCACTTGCTTTTACGTGCACCATGACATCTCTAGCTCATCTCAGAACCTTTTTTAACCACGTGACTAGATACAATATATATTTTCCATAAAGTAAATTACCAAATTCAGTGCAATTAGTAATTGGATTTCATTATTAAATTGTAAAAGTAATTGTTGTTAATTACTATCAAGAAGCCCATTATAGAAGTCGGATCTAAGTAATGGAGATTACCTTATGCTACATTTTAATTTTGTCGTATCGTATTTGCACATCGTGAATCACGACATGCATCAGAGTTCTGACGCGAGAAGGATACATAATGATTAATTAGAATAACTCCATCTCAGGGCTTGTATTCTCTTAGATGTAAAAGCTGTATATCAGTTTAGTAAACGCCCTTCGCATCTGTAAAGTATTTTCTTTAACTTTCTTGTACAACGTGCCTAAACTTTCTTTTGATTTGGTCAAAGTAACTTATTCGGCCGTGCTCGTCCACGCTTGCCTTCCACTTTTCCTTTCATCGTTTCGGTTTTCAACTATTCCCAACAATGTTTCTGCTTACCTTTACTATTGTTACTACATTTTATCATTTTTTTCACAAATTAACATTGCATATTTGCCTATGACCTATATTCAGTAATTTTTGTTTCACAAATTAACTAATTGTGACTGCAAAAGCAGCGCGCGTTTGTCACTACAGTGGCCCTGCAACTATGCTAAATATTGTATGAAAATGAGTAGTGCCGCAGCTGCAGTATTGAAGCCACTTGCAAATTTGAAAGCGCCTTTAAGCCGTATTACGACGTCGCTGCTATTTCTGTGTCTCAACAATTCACTCTTTAATTTCGGTAGCTGTCTATGTTCACACTAAGGTTCAATTTACATTGCCGCGGAACGAGCCAAAAACCCAATCGCACGTCTTGCGGAGAATTTCGCGTAGTATCAGGAATACTTACTCAATTGACATTAAGTTAATTACGCTATTACAATTTAATTTAATAATATTAATTAGATTTGCATTGTATTGTAATGTGCAATTCGAAGTATAATGTGAACTTAAATAAGTCGCGCTGTAACGTGATTACTTCGTTGCCAAATATTACATCTGACGAAAATACACATAGTTCAGCTTTACTTTATACCATTGTTTTGAATCAACGTTAAATTCAATTCGCGACATAATATAAATACTTATTTACGTTCGCGATATTTAAGTTTCAGTCATGTAGAATCAGTAGTATGTGTGCCTGTTCCACAAAGCTGAAAATATGGGAACAGAAAGTGAAGGAGTTAGGTTGCTAACAGATTGACTGCATATTTGCAGACATCGACTGTATTAAATTCGACTTCACTCGGCTGTATGAAGTCGGTTTCTACTTTTTTATTTTCATTTTGTAATATCAAGTGACGGTACGGAACTGCATGCTGTTAATGCATGAAGTCGTTATCAATATCGCGCGTAATAGATAAGCAGTACTTAAGTTCAACACTTACGTACAACGTATTTCGCAAAATAAAACAATGTCGGAAGTAAAAAAGAAGAGACGGCAATACTGTGCGGAATATATTAAATTCGGATTCATTGAAAATCCCACAAACCCATCGTCGCCTTTGTGCCTTCTATGTCTAAAAACATTTTCGAATGAAGCAATGAAGCCTTCAACACTGCAGGATCATTTGAATAAAATGCCTCCAGATAAGAAAGACAATAATGTAGCATATTTTCAAGACCTAGAGAAGAAGCATAATACTCAGCCAAGTGTAGCAAAACTCTTTTCGGCAGCTGCTAAGCAAGATGACGACGGACTTCGAGCTTCGTACAATATCTCTTTGTTAATTGCTCAAAAAGGCAAACAACACAACATCGGAGAAGAGTTAATTTTGCCAGCAATAAGGGAAGTAATAACTACTGTGACTACTGTGGTTCATAAACCGGCCGCAGATATCATCCGAAAAATTCCTTTGAGTAATAATTCCGTGCAAAGACGAATTGATGAAATGGCTGAAAACATTGAAGAATCATTGTGCAACCATCTGAGGACTAGTCAGCTCGATGAGTCCACTTTACCAATGAATGAAGCATTGTTGCTGTCTTACGTGAGGTTTATTAAAGATGAGAAAATATGTGAAGAAGTATTGTTTGCTTTCTAGCAAACAATGGTTTATTTTAGATTTATTTATTTATTAGTTTAATTTAGAGACCGATACAAAAGGCGAAACTATATTCAATGTGGAAAAGTTTTGTGATGAGAAAGAGATTCCCTTGAAAAATATTACATCGTTACAAGCGCTTCGGCTATTACAAGGTGCCATAAAGGCTTCATAGCGTACTTAAAAAATAAAATTCCAGATGTCCTTGCTGTACATTGCGTTATTCATAGACAACATTTGGTTGCTAGAAATTTAAGTGAACGACTATTTCAATCACTGCGATACGTCATCAAAGCATTCAATAAAATCCGTAACAGCTCTTTGAATGATACATTATTTCATCAGCTTTGTGTAACTAATGACGAAGATTTCAACCATTCGTTGTTTCATACTGAAGTTCGTTGGCTATGAAGAGGCAATTGTCTAACTCGATTTTACAACCTGTTTGACTCTGTGATAGAGTTCTTGGAAACTAAAGGTACAGAATTGCGCAACAAACTCATTACATCAATTAAATCAATTATATCAAGAATGATATAGCTTACGTGACAGACCTGTATAAATTGTTCAACGACATGAATCTCCAACTGCAAGGCGATGAACTAAATTTAATTAAAACAAAAAATGTCGTTGCTGCTTTCGCAGCCAAACTTCTTCTACATAAAAAGAATATGGACAGACGTGAGTTTCACAATTTTCCGAATTTATCAGTATCCTGCAGTAACGACGACTTGTTTGCCTACTGCCAACATTTGGAAAAGCTCCACATTGACTTCACCGAACGATACCATGACATTTCGAACTTGGAAATACCAGGCTGGTTGTTGGATCCGTTTTCAAATGTCAACACAGCAATATCACCTCAGCTGGAAGAAGAACTTATAGAATTGACAACGAACGAGGAAATAAAAATCAAGTTCAAAAATAGCTACCAAGAATTTTGGCTACAAAAACCGATCCCGCAATTGTACCCTGGATTGTGGTCAATCGTTCAACGATTCTTGATAGCATTCCCATCGTCATATTTGTGTGAACGTGGTTTTAGTGCTGTGCGCTGCTTACTAAAAAGAGAAATCGTTTGCATGTTAACGAACGTGGTGACTTGCGGCTGTTCTTGTGTAAATTGGAACCTGATATAAACAAACTTATTAAACAGCATCAGATTCATCCTTCACATTCGTTTTTATATTAGAATCGATTAAGTTTGTTTTATTTGGAATAAAAGATACTCTGTCTGAATACTATAAAGTTGCGTTTCAATAATCATTCTCATTGACAGGTGTAGCCCGTAAGAGTTCTCTTGCGGGTTATAGTAAAAGTCTCGTTTCAAATGAATGTTTAATCTCCGCTAATATAGCTCACAATAATAAATTTAAATTGAAGTTATAGTGGTTTTTAAGTAAGTGAAAAAATGGGGGCGCTAAAAAATTATTTATTCTTAAAGTGGGCAGTAGACAAAACAAGTTTGGGAACCCCTGATCTAAGGTCTTACTACAATACAGAAATCTGATAATTTTAGATCTTTATTTGAAAACTCATTCATTCCGACCGTTCTTGACATCTGACATTGAAATCAGTTGTTTACAACCTTCTAAAATTAAGTTAGCATTTAATAAGCCTTACGTAGTTATTGACGTTCTCACGAAACAGCTTCGGCTGCGAGCCATCAAAACAAGTTTCAAGTTTTGTTAAACAATTAAATATTATTCTAATTGAAAAGTTATTTATATTTAACAGCGGGGAAGCTGACTGTTTCTTTGGTGTTGTTTTCAAATTCTATAGTTTCAATTCTGATGGGAGTAGCTAGAGTTATGCAAAAAATTACATTTACAGTTGTAACAAATGACATACTGTTTTGCTGTGAGGGAGAGTATTCCCCACTGTAATGGCGACGATGAATAATAAATCTTCGTACGTTTTAATTGAAGAAACATTATTCGTTTTTTCTTCTTTTTATAACATTAAGTGACGAGGCGAACAAGTCGTGCGTAATTTCACCTGCACCCTTACCTTTCGAAACCAGAACACAGTAATGCTGACATTACTGCTTGGCGACAGAAACAGGCAAGGTGTCAGTACTATCCTGGACGAACTCTTTCACAAGGAGCTCTACTGCTACTAAAATTATTTGCACCGATGAATGTTATTTCTTGGATTACTATCTCTACGGATTATCCTTTCTATTACAGTAGGGTAATAAAACCATTAACATTTCTTTCACTTAAGGAGTACACGGATTTAACGACCTTGGTCCATCATACCAGTCATGCGGGCGCTAAATGCTTCTTCTGAATTCTTGTTTTCAATTGTTTCTTTACTCAACAGGTCGTTCTTTTTAACGGTAGCTACATCATAAAATACCGACTGCCGACTCTGTTCTTACTAATTCAATAAGTTATTTACGCATAAAGATTATCATGTTTAGAATTAAGTGGCAATGCGTAAAAGTGTTTGAACCAATTGTTTGCACTATACAGATGGCACGCGCGGTACCAAGACGGCTTACTGTTTTTAACCGACTTTAAAAAAGGAGGAGGTTTTTGTATGTGTGTTCGCGATAACAACGGCATTTGTGAACCGATTTTGATGGGTCTTTTTGTTGGAAAGAGGGTGCGTCAGATGTGGTCCCATTTAAATTTGAAGAAAATCTTCCACCTCTAAGGCAAACTAAGGGTTGAATGACTTTTGAGGTCGGTTTTTTTAGAACTCTGTGTTGAGATTTTGTCCTATTGTACTCTAAAGATGAATCGATGACACGAATCAGTGCAAATAATATTTCGCCAACTATACTTACTCACCGTTTTATAGTAATTTATTTCAGTAAAGATCTTTTACTTGGGCCTAATTGTAAAACTCTATGATAAGACTATTTCAAATGATTGCATTTGCGATGTTATCATTCATCATGAATAGCGTGTAACGGGTAGCGACTAGATCGGTTTTTGTTTAATTATCTGAATATGTTCACAAGTCGTCATAGCATATCGATTAGTAGGTAATAATCAAAATTAGATAACGTAACGTTAGGTGTTGTAACTTGTAATGTCTGAAGATGTTTTGACAAGTGAACTAGTTGTTTCCAAGGATACTTGAAGGTTGTCAATAAACATAAACACCGAAGTAAACTATATTCTTGAGTTGCTGCCATAATCTAAAGGTATTGTCCCACTTTTTCTACGATCGGTGGTATTCCTCAATTTTATGACTGCTGACAACAACAATTGATTATTTCTGATGTCATAAATACACGATTACATAAACCATAAAAAGAAATAGCTTTTGTTCAGGCAAAAGTCAACTTGATTTAGTGTCTCGAAAAGTAACAGTGAGTTGAGCGGGCTAAACGTAGTATATCTTTTTAACCCAAAATAATCTTTTACTTCTTTAACTTCTTCAATAATAATGAACCTCGGCATAACATTAAATTTTCTTTTGAGTTCAAAAATAGTAGCGCGCGCGAGTGCTACCTTGGACATCTAGTGACAAAATAATTTTTCGAAATATCATAAAAAGCCCTAACCCATTTTAGAAGATTGAAATTGTTTAATGATGTTTCAGTTAAGCAACGCTAGAGTAAGTTTCGATACGTCGAACACGTTAACTAATTTGAACTGTTTTTAAAAAAGAATTTTGTAATCTATCTTCTGCTATTTACAACGGATATTTGATCATTTGCCACTTAGCTGCATTTTAGTTAGTGGACGGCAGACGTAATATGTTCTCGTTTCCGCGAGAAGAAATTAGTTCTTCAAATTATACGACACGCCGAATGCCAATATCTAGCTTCTGGGACTTTAATTGAACCGTAAATAACAGAAACACTCTTTTCAGAGCACGGAAGCAGTCACGGGCACACACACGGCGGTGTACCGCCACCTTCCAACGTTAGACACTTAACAGAAATCGTTAATAGCAACGCTGACATGGCCCTCGGCCATAACGCAACGGACACTGAAGAAACAGACGAAATGGTAAAAACGGATAAGACGCCAAATAAAAACAAACCAGCGCCGCATCGACCCACTGATCCGGGGCATATGAACATGAAGGGCGTCTTCTTGCATGTACTGTCTGATGCCTTAGGTGAGTCTTTTTTTACCTACCATAACAGTCACTCTTCTAGGTAAAGTGCTCCCTAGTGCTCCTCCAGTCCTTCCTGCTTTTATCAGTATGTTACGAGTATTAACTAGGATAGTGCGAAATAAGTAGGTCATTTTTAAGACTTCCAAAAAGGAGGAGGTTTCAATTCGACTGTTTTTTTTTATGTATAGTACGAGATGACTTATTTTTGAACTGATTTAAATGATTCTTTTTTTTAGTACTCAATATTGGTCCCATTTATAAATTTGAAGAACGAACAGAGAAGAATATTCCAACTCAAATGGTGGATTAATCCGGTTTCACACACTTATAATTACACGAACTTTTGAGGTCACTTTTTTATATAAAAACGTTATTAAACAGTTTAAATTCAGTAGCTGCTGATCGCAGACCCTTAAATAATATATCAGCTTGGGAATCTACCGATATTTAGTGAGCACTTCAGTGCAATATTTTCACGAAAGTCAAATCGGTAAAGACGCCGAGATTTTTTTATGTTGTCCTTATTGACTTACAAATAAATGGACGACAGGTCTAATACAAAAACCACGAAAAAAAAATGTCCCAAGTCAACCTATTTAAACGTAGTGACATGTAAAGGAATATGAAAAAGATAAAACGTTGTATTTAAATTGTAATGTCATCGCAATACTGTCTAATTTTGCTTGCTTCGCTGTCAGTCGAACGAACGAAGACTAAAGCGTGAATGACGCTCTGTATACTATTTTAACGCCCTATAAGTTCGGACACTTTTTAGCGCGGACCCGACGTCCATATAATTGTAAGTCAATGGTTGTCCTGTATTAATAACACACGATACTTTGGTTCGAAATATTTAAGTTTCGTAAAGGTGACGTATTTTGTTTTGCTTAAGTGGAAGATGAGACAAAATTTGTTGACGTAATTTCGTAACTTGACTGAGTTCGGATTCCACACGAGTTCGCTCATACGACGATGAGCATTGAAAAACTTGAGTTGTATCGTCAGCTTTGAAAAGATAGAGCTGTCGACACAGCCTAAGATATACATAGATTGATAATTAATTAATAATTAATTCATGAACCAATTTAATATCCACTATTTCTGTGCTATTAATTACTTTAATTAATCAGATTTATGTTCGTCCAGGCGTTTTCTTAGCTACAAAAATGGCTAACAACTGGAATGGATTATATAGGGCAAGTTTATGCGGGAAACACACACGAGGGCGGGTGCGGGTCGGTACCCGCACCCGCCCCGGACCCGACCCACACCCGACCCGCACCCGCTCTTTGTGTGTTTCATGCTTTAAATTTTACAACAGTATCTTGTTTACGGTATTCACTTTTGAAGTAATCAAGTTATTAGGAATCGTAACAACTTATTACTTAGAATAAACTAAAAAATCGCTAATAATTGTGCATTACGACTTCACATTAAGAAAAGTTCTTTTTAAAGTCATACCGTTACATAAATATAAATATCACTAGGCTTTTTGCAACGGCATATAATTTTACTTGTTTTGTTTCGTTCTACATTTGAGACAAGCTCCATATAAACACCTGTTTTCTTAGTTAACTGTACAAATGTTTTGGAAAAAGGTTGGTGACACATGTCTCACTTTGGTTCAACAATAGTTGGCGAAAAATATTCTTGAAATTGTAACAATACACCAATGTTCATTGAGAACAATACTCGGTATTTACGCTCAACGTGTCCAAGGCAATAAGGAATTGGATACACAGTTCCTCCTATTGTATAAAATACAGAATTTCAACATTTTCGAAACACGTCTCGTGGCCGATAAATGTACTACGTATTACAATTTAAAGCTACATTGCTCCTTAATTGATTTGTGTGCCTTGACATTGAGTTTTAATTCAATAGGGAAATTGTATCCGTAACTAATTCTTAGGATAATTATACTTGACTCATTCCATGAAATGTTAGATAATCGACAATGTCTTGGAGAATCAGACAACTAAGAGTGATTTACACATCGCTATTTAAAGTTGCGCGTGTGTAACAGCTCTAACGAATAGATTTCGGAGCCGGCCTACGGTGTTCCCCGAGAAATAGTTCAACGTCTTCCTTTCGCTATTTATTTTATTGAAAATCGTGATGTTTTTACTAGTTTGTTATTATTATTGAAACAAAGATCGAACAAACACAATGAAAAATTCCTTGGATCTGACTGGATTGGTTCGAACCAGGGTCTGTTGCCTAAACGTAGCTACTGCTCTTAACATCTGAGCTACAGACCGAGTCAGCAGATCTTAGGAATTTCTCTTTGTATTTATTGCAGATCTTTTTATTGGGTTTAAATGGCTCCCTTTCGTTTTGAACTAAAATGTAGCTAATCCAGTTCTTTTTTCAATTTAAAATAATTTTTCTTTTTACTTTTTTACTATTGGATTATTTGATTTTTAGACTAGTGGTTGTTTCGTCTTCTTAACCTACCGATGGCATCCACTACAATGCTTGCCGTCGTGGTGAAAGGATTTGCCAAACGGCGTAAGGTACTCGCCGATTGGTGCCCAGGATGCGCCCGACTTACGGGAAAGGAATGGTACGACATGCGGGAAGGCTCTTTTCGTGCATCCAAATTTTTTTTTAATGTTATTGATCACTCAATGACTTTACCATCTGAATCACCCGTAACCATGGGGCCTGCAAAGAACCCGAAACATTGGTTTGTTTGAAAAAACACATATCCGGAAAAAAATTCATTAGTAATGTGTTGCGAAAGCGTAACGACTAGAGTTATCTTACTAAATTATTTATTATTAATTTTTAGTACTATTCAAATTCAAAATATTTCTTTTCCGATAACAGGATCCATTGGTGTTAGTAAAATAGAGTAAAAACTTATATAAGCTATTGTTATTAGGAATATTATATAACATATTACTTAATTAATTAAAATCTAAAATGTCATGTACTTACGAGGCATCTTGTGCGGAATCTTTGTCCGTACGAGATGCCTCAGTACGGGCGCTCTGTGGTCCTCTGCCACAACCTTCAGGGTGCTGTTGTTAAAGCAATTCGGATTAGTCACAATATCGGGGTAGTCTCAACACCATTCTGAACACGTTATTATATTGGACGCGCAGGGAATTTTGCGACCTTTGGGAGAACCTAAACCACAATCTCTGTTACCGCTTTTACATATACTTGTTTATTTGGCATTTTGTACTGATTTTGTAGGGCCTTAATTGGCATACAATGAAAATTATGAATAAGTGATTATGATAAAACGTCTGTTTCAAGGTAAGAGGAAATCGTCTCCTACAGGGCAAGCGTGACTCATCCGCGACTTTACTACGAAGTGAGACTGGTCAAATGCTTGCCCAGAACCAACAAAAAAAACATTAATGCAAAACAAAAACAAATTGTGTTTGGTTAATCGTTGGGCTAGCAAAAGCGCGGATTTTCAAATTAATGCCCTAGTAAAGAAATTTTTCATAAGCAAAGCAAAGTAAATTGTACAACAATATGAAGTTGGCAAATTTTTTGTGGCGCGGTAAAAGCTTTTTCTATTTTATTTGCTTTTGAGTCTATGCAACCTCAAATGCCTTTGGTTGATTCCGCATAACAGTGAAAGTGTTGAATCGATCACTTTGGAAGAATATATAGTAAAATTGAGGATATACACTGATTACTATACGCTGTGAACGACTTAACAATTTCACGATAGAAAAAAAAACAAACTTACCTCGAAAATGTACAAGAAAACCGCTCTATCCAATAGCTACTTTACATACCTATACCAAACTAATGATTTGAATATACATTTTTCAAATGGCTTTAATTTCGTTGGTGAAAAAATAAATTTGAAATAAAACCAGCGTCCCTGCCGTTCGAACTAAGCAAAATGAACCGTATTACTACGGGATAAATTTGAATTCGACATAAGGTAGTATCGACTCTCAATAGCGTCATCCAGCAGACCCTGTCACGTTCGATAACAGTAAAGCTCTTTGTGAGAGATTTCGTCCAGGGAAATATTTCACCATATCTATTTCTGCTGCCAAGCAGTAATGCGAGCATTACTGCGTTCCAATGTTGAAGGTAAGACTGCTGGTGAAACTAAGTACAGGGGCATGGGGCTTGTCAACTCTATGTCTCAATACCACTCAGTTTTTACGATTTAAATCGCACAACAATTGTTATGGATGAGCTTATCGCTTACCACCAGGCGCAAGAGTGCTTAGTCCCGCCACTCGATATCATAATAACTTTTATGGAAAAAAATCGACCCTAAAAGTTCGTGGAATTACATTTATTTGCCAAGTTTTATTGAAATCGGTTACCGGAAAGCGAAAACGGATTAATCTCCTAGTTTGTAGTAGTTTTGCTCTAGCCACACAGACGCCAGAGCTTTAAGACGGCGAGCGGTTTCAGTGTGGCAGGATTCATATGAACTCGTACTTTACAAAAATCCCGCGCCCAGAACGCTTCCGCATCCGCTTTTGAAGTCGGTTAAAAAAAATGGTCCTGTTATATTGCTTTTTGTTTACTGGCCTGTGCCATCCCGACACCAATAAAACGAGCAAGTGTGTGAGCTTCACATAGTAATCACAGGAATTCAGAGTCCACTGATATCAGACTGGTATCGGTCTGTAACGCTCTATGACCGAGGAGAAGGTTCTTAAGTCCATTGTAATTTTTTTTATGTGTATGTTACACGATTACGGCACGTATGTACCGATTTCAATGATTCCTTTTTTCGTTGGACAGGGCGCATTCAAATTTGTAAAAATATTCCACGCAGACGTAATACTGATGAAAATAAAATATTACTGTAATCTGATCTTACGATAGATGACGCACTGATGAACTTTGCATTGTCTGGGATTTCAGTAAGGGAACTGAAACTCGCCTTTTAAAAGGTTATATAATCAAGACTGCTTTAGAAAATCTTTAATGATGTTGTAAAATTTTAATAGCGCCAACGGTTTTGTTCTTTTGTGCAAAATGCAGACTATTAACTAGAATTGGTT